TTTCGACATAGCTGTTGTCTCCTCTCTTCTATCTCAATATATGAGGATCTGCATGCATGAGTCCACTACGTGGATGATTTCACTCCAAGCAAGAGGAGAGTGCCGATAACCGACCGGGAAGGACACCTAGGACAGTGGTCGTTAGATCTACGGCTACGGAAGACAGCTACGGAGGACTCACGATGGGGTGCTACACGTGCGGTAAGGACGGGCACTTCGCGAGGGATTGCCCTCAACGGGCTGGAGCTACGCCATGTAGTAGCAATAACAACTACGGCAGATATTATAAGTATAATGGCCTGTCATGGCAGCAGAAGAAGGACGTTGACGATATATCATGGATGAGGGATTTGTGTGGGGAGATAGCGAGGGAGAGGAAGGAGAAAGAGGAGCTTCGGAAGGAACAAGAACGCCAACAGTTGGAGGAGGAGAGACGGAAGAGGGAGGAAGAACTTCACAGACAACACAAAACGGAGATCGAGAGACATGCCGAGATTCGGGATGCACGACTCATGGCAGCAATGACTTCGCAATTGAAGGCTTTGCACGACAAGCTGACAGGACAGATGGAGAGTGTACGGGCGAAGGTAAGGAATACATACCAACAGCGGGAGGAGATTGGAACACTGAGGAATGAAGTGCAAGAGCTGGAGAGAGAACTTGCTCGAGAAGACAGCCCGGAGAAGGAGAGAGACGAACTCCGCCGAAAACTGGCGCAACTGAGGACACTCAAGGAGGAGAGAGACCGTGCACGAGCAAAGAAGAAGGTTCTGGAGCAAGAAATTGAATGGGAGTTGGAGCAAACACGGAGAGAACTCGAAGAGGAAGACCAGTTCGCGCCGTCATCCTCCGCGCAAAGAAGGCCGAGAATGGACACACCGACCACTCCGGTGCGACCACCAAGACCACAGCAGCGGGTCAGACAACCAAGCATGGGTATCCGCATCGAAGAACCGTCGACACCTCGCACACCGAGAACAAGATCTCAGGCAAGGAGAAATCTAACGGCAGATACTGGGACGCTGATATCAGGCTGGAAGGAGATTACAACTAACGGATCGAAGATGAGTGTTGTAGACTATTGTATGAGCATGCGAAGCTACCTACGGACGAGATCGATGGAGGAGCTACAATGCCTATGTGGAGAGGAGAAGATCGAATACGGTACGAGAGAAAAGGCGATTAAGGAACTGATCAGAGGACGGATGCAGGAGGCAATCCTTCGAACGAACACGGGCGGTGACGAGGAAGCAGACGTAGGGACTAGCCTCGAACGCGATCCCGAACTAATGGATAACTGACATGGCAACCTCGATTGGGCATGGGCCTTAGACAGCATTGTCGAGGAAATAGGAGTTTTGGAGAGAGCATTGATACTGTGTAATAGTGTTTCTCGCACTATGTGGGGCTTTACCGTGGGCGGAGAAGTTTTTGGAGCTTTGGAAGGACGAGGGATCCAGTGGGATAATCCTCGGAGTTGTGTCTACGCAATTATTTCAGCGAAATGCAGAAAGATCTACATCGGGCGCACCGGTAGAGAACTCGGTAACAGGTGGAAGGAGCACGTAGCATGTAGTACAGGAAAAGAGAGCAAAAGACAACCTCTCTATCAATGGCTTCGGAAGGTGGGCACTGACGACTACGTCGCGATTCCACTCACCTCTGCAGAGGGAGAAGAGGATTTGAAGAGAATAGAGCGTTGCTTTATCAGAAGATGGTCTCCAACGCTGAATCGGCATGATAGGATATCAGCGAATTCGAGGCGCCGGAAGAAGAGAAAAGGAAGGCGAGAGAGAAAAGGAAGGAGACATGCTCAGGAGAAGAAGGGGAGCGTTCTCCGGTTCACAGATGAGACTGGAGCCACGACCACCAGTCTAACCGATTACTTAGATCCGACGATAAAGAGCGGGAAGAGAGACCTACGCATCACTTGCAGTGGGAAGATATGGTGTGAAGACTGGAAAGTGCTCAAGCGTAGATTCGACTCATCAATTGTTGAGCTGCGTGGGAAGACGTGCCTACTGAAAGAAGCGAAGAAGACGATCGAAGACGGAGGCCTGCTAATTATCAAGGATCCCACGGAGACGATCACATTTCCTACAAGAATCAAGAGGGAACTCCTGCTACTACTCACTCAACCTTGGCGCAAAAACTGTTGTGGAAGAAGGAAGAGCGCGAGCTGACGTACATGTACCAGGCTACTAGGGGTTTTGACAAGAGAAGTAGACAGAGGATCAGAACTCTCCTGTCACGAGTAATTAATGAAAAACTGGGGATTAATCTGAGAAAGAGAATCATAGTGAAGATACCGTATGATGATAGGGTTGATCGGAGGAGGATTGGACACGTGACCAGGGAGAAGATTGGAGATTTGGGTTTAGGGGAAGAAGTTACTAGTATCGTACGAAGACATGTACGCGTCGTTTGGATGAAAAGACAGACGATTGCGGACATCCTTCACAACCACCGGGACTTTGCACGCTCGTGTGGTAGCATCTGCAGATGTGCAAATAGCCCCTTTCCGCTAGTGGAAGGACTTGTACGATGCAGGTTATCTGACCTCGAGGCACCGGATTTCCTTCTTAATGCGAGAAACATACCTCCGCAACGGACGTGTAGGGTGAAACGGGGAATTATGGCAGCTATCCTTGACGGGCTGGGATAAATTTTCAAAAGGACAGGGAGACCTCTCACGGTACACCTGGCAGATGTGGACCGATGTGTACACGATGAAGATGAGCTCCAAGATCACCTGTATCAAGCTACTCAAGATTGGAAGCGCCGGCTGCGGGACCTCGTATGCATGCCCATGGATCGCAACCCAGGGGCAACATACATCGTCTGCCCTCTGGTGTATGCGAGGGCTTTGAGGGACACCTTCTGGCATGGTGACAACTTCAGAATGTGCAAGACAGCAGTGAAGGAGGTACTTTTGCTCAACAAGGCGAAGTACGAAGAGAGAGGTTTGAAACAACTGGGAACTTGGAGGACGAAAGTAAGGTATGAAGACGCCTACGTACTGCCGAAGCAGAAAGACCCCATGAGATGGCGACCGATAGCACCAGCATGGAACGCACCAACGAAGGACGGGGCGAAGAGAGTTGCGAAAGCACTGCAATGCATGCTGGGGTGCCTAGCGAAGAGACTGCACTTCAACACACTGTCATCGGAAGATGCTATTCTAAGACTGGCCCGCTGGGCTGGGGATACTGACCCCAAATTGGGAGTGATGGTAGCAAGCTTCGATATCAAAAACATGTTTGCAGAGCTTTCGCACAAAGAGATTCGGGAATCACTTACCTGGCTCATCGCAATGATGGAGATGAAGGGCTACGACAGGGTAAACGCAAACCAAAGAGGGAAGAAGCCCGCGATGGGAAGAAAGGCCAGGGAGGGACACTACTCCGTCAGGTTCCACCATGTACGAGCTTGGGTCGACTACGAGCTGGACCACTCTTTTAGCTTGGCTGAAGGAGAACTCGTGCAGCAGATCAAGGGAATACCGATGGGCGGCCACACGAGCCCGGCTCTAGCGTGTATTCTATGCGCCAAGAGTGAAGCATAGGAGCTGATCGGAAGAAGATCCTCGGCCTGAGGCTGATGGATGACGTGGCGATCGTCGTGCGTTTTACACGTGAGAAGATTGAAACAGCTTGCCACGCTAGAGACATCCTGAAGGGACTGCTGACATGCTACCCGCAGGATCTCTCACTAGAACGTACGGATGAAGACGACGGGACGCTGTCCTTTCTGGGATGCAAGATCTTCGTCGACCAGGAGGGTCCGAAAATCTCGTCGATACTTCATATGAAAAACCAGGAGTGCCTGGCGCAGGACACCCCTCTCATATATCAGAGCATACAAGACAATAGATCCTGCAGCGACAGGCGAACCAAGATGGCGATGGTTACGAGCTACCTGCATCGGATAGCCAGGTGATCAACGCATCCGACACTGCAGGATCTGCCACTTCTCTGTCTCCGGAAAGAGCTGCGCCTGAGAATTTACCCAGAGGAGGAGATCACGAAGGCCTTCCAGACTTTCAAGGAGAGAGGAAACAGAGCAAGAAGCTAGGGGACCTCCATCCCGACGGGATGGAGGTAGAAGGGGATCAGAGAGAGAGAGAGAGAGAGAGAGAGAGAGAGAGAGAGAGAGAGAGAGAGAGAGAGAATGAGGGGGAGAAGGCAAGAGAGAGACTTCAGCCCGACCTGACG